CGCCACCTTCGCGAATCCAAGGAAACTACAGGCACATCAGAAAACAACCAACCAGTGCCTCAACTCAGTGACACTCCTCACATGCCTGAGCCTGCTCCAGCTGCAACCCAACAGCCCCAAGAGCAGCCCGGCTACACCACAAGAGTAGGCCGTGTCACTAAACCCAGACAAATACTGGATTTGTAAATGCTAATATGAGAATTGCTCACATTGTGCATATAGGCATTTTTATATTGTTTATGCTGTTCATTTTAAAATTTGCTTTGCCTATTCAATTTAAGCAAATAATAATCAAAGTACAATTGCACTATTTCAGCTTATAAGCTAGGTCAAGAAATTGTATAACTTTTGTTTATATTAATGCATTTGTTTTGTTCCTTATCTAGACAGCAATGCATAGCAATATAGTGTTACTATATTATACTGTCATTCACCATTTTCGGTTACATTCCATCGAAGTCATGTTGTAGCTACATTTTGTTTGGAAGGGAGATGTAACATCCAGACGCTAGAGGCGCTGTGTTCTACAATGTTGTACATCTGTATCGCGAGACCAGGTTCGGGAGTTTATGTTGGCTGATAAAGATACTTGACGTACTCTACATGGTGGTGATTATTCTAACACAATAACATCCCAGCCATAGCCATAGCCATAGGGCAAACATAACACTACCCACTCTCTCAGAAGCTTATCCTGCTTCTAATGGACGCAGCCCGGCTGAGTATGCCGCGCTGCGCTGGACTCGCACCTATGCTCCCAGGGTCGCTTCGGCGGTCATGCTTCATCTCTATACTTAATCTTCTGATTCTATCAGATGCAGCCGGCCGAGTTGCTGCGCTGAGCCGTCAATCGGACTCCTAATCAAACGCATCCATACCTGTATTCTTCACTCTTCTGATCGCAGGCTCCCCATCATGCTGCCAATCCTGCAGCGGCACTGAACTCCGGCTCATCTTCCAAGTACATGTCTGCCCTCCTCGCAGCATCTTCCTGCTCGCCTTCTGTGGCTTCTCTGCATAAGCGTTTCACTACTGCTCACTCAACCTTCATGCGGTCCGAGACACGGCTTTCCCGACCATCCTACTATCCTGATTATCTACTCTCCAACCCAAGATTCTAAGCGTAAGGGCGCCTGCAAACATCAATGGCCCTCTCCGACATGTCTCTGCCCCTACAGGTCTCCGCTTCTACACGGACGCTGCCCCTTCCGTGGGTTTTGGGGGTTCTTCCAGGACCATTGGTTTGCCGGGCTGTGGCCGCTACTTCCACCGGAGCATCTCTTCTGCCCTACACGAAATATTCCCAGTGGTCGTGGCTGCGCGCTGTGGAATCACACGTGGCAGAGAAAGAGTTATGTGTGATAATCTCGACGTAGTGGAAGCATTACACAAAGGTCGCTCTTTTTCACCCAACATAATGTCCCCTGACCATTTCAACCTTCAATTCAAACATTCAAAAATCAAAGGAGCCTGCAATATAGTAACAGCTCGCTCGGACACATCTCTCTGCCCCTACAGGTCCATGATGCGTTACACTCGCCTCCGCTGCAAAAAGGAGAGTTTAACGGACCTCTATTTCTCACTCCAGACATTCTTCCCATGACAGCAACCTGGTTCAGAGCTCAACTAAGATCCCTACTGCTCCTCTGTAAATTGTCTCCCCAGCTCTACACAGCCCACTCCTTCAGGATAGGCGCCGCCACGCGCGCGGCCTCGCTGGGGCTCCCCCACACCTCTCTGCAACAGCTGGGGCGCTGTTCCTCTTCGGCCTTCTCCGCCTACATCAGGCCAGACGCGTCCGCTATCCTGGCTGCACAACGTCTACTGGCTTCTTCGTAAGCTCCCAGCAAAGCAATACAAAGCAAAGTAAGTGATCCAATAAAGATTCTGGTGGCGGCATGCACTTTCTCAAAGATAACTCTGTTGCAGCGTCCGGTTGATCGTGATGCGAGCGCTCACGTCCCGGCGCTCAAAGACAACTCTGCTACAGCGTCTGGTATCGATCGTGATGCGAGCGCTCACGTCCCAGGCAGCGTCCGGTTAAATCGTGATGCGAGCGCTCACGTCCCGGCGCTCAAAGACAACTCTGCTACAGCGTCTGGTATCGATCGTGATGCGAGCGCTCACGTCCCAGGCAGCGTCCGGTTAAATCGTGATGCGAGCCCTCACGTACCAGGCAGCGTCCGGTTGATCGTGATGCGAGCGCTCACGTCCCGGCACGCAAAGGTAACTCTGCCCGTTTTTGGGGATTATGCGCGCGAGCAAGCGCCGCACTCAACAGCATCTCTCCCGGGCCTAGGGCGCCAAACATACTCAATCAACAAACTTCTAACTGCATTTTCCCTCTTGGGTCTCTCCAAAGTGAAACACATTTCAGCTTTAGTGTCCAGATTCAGCAATCCAATTCAGTCCAAATTATGTACAGTACAAATTCAGAAATCCAATTGTTCCAAATTGTTCCAAATGATGTCCGTGCAAAAGAGGACGATGGTATTGTCCATGTCTCAGCAGCTCACAGCAGGTTTTTCAATTTTGCCTTAAAAAAAATAGTCTTCTGTTCTGTAGATGTTAATTCTTCAGACAATGCCCGCATTCATATGAACCGGCTCGGACTCTGAGGAGCACAGGGACTGGCCTCCTGCTGGTGCCCAGAGTGAGAACCAAACATGGGGAGGCTGCGTTTCAGATCCATGCAGCTAAGATCTGGAACAATCTCCCTGAAAATGTGAGACAGGGTCTACTCTGTCAACGTTCAAATCCAGGTTAAAGACTGTTCTATTTGCCTGTGCATACAACTGAAGGATTTTATCTCAATTTCTAATGCACTGTTGTCATTTATTTTTTTATTTTTTTAAATGTCTTGTGTAATTTTGAAAGTTTTAATGGTTTTAATCTTTTGTGTGATTTTAATGTTTTAATTGTGATTCTGGTGTGTGTTTTATGTGATTTGTGATGTGGACTGTGAAGCGCTTTGTGTTGCCCTGTGTATGAAAGGTGCTCTACAAATAAACTTTGATTGATTCCTCCACCACCTGAAGAAGATGATAAAGTCTGGGATCGTGTCTTTTATTCAGACAGAAGACATGTTTTATTGTCGTTGGTAGAGACAACACGAACACGAACTAGAGATGTTACAGACTGCAAGTGATAATATAGCATTGAGGAATGGAGTCCTCCAATCAGCGTTTGCCATTATGTGCTTTTAGCTTCAACCTTGAGATTACCAAAACAATGGAAAAATACTGGCTTGTGCATATTATTGAATGATGAGTTTGAACTTTAACCACAGTTGCTTCAAAGTGTCATGAAATCTCTAAACCGGTCCTCTGCATGTGGTGGGAAGACAATGGCCTTGGTCTTGGTCTTTCTGCGGGGCCTCAGGCAATGTGGGGTTAAGTGTCTTGCCCACGGACACAACAACAGCAGACATCAGTGGGATCGAACCCACGACCATTATGTCTAAAGACCAGTGCTCTGGTCAATAAATAAAATCTCTCAAAATGCATAAAAACTCTTAAAACGCATCTTGTCTCTTAGTTGCAATTCAACCTGGGGAGACTATTTCTATTCTAACTATTTATTTCTATTCAAATGAAAACAGTTGTGGTCTGATTTGTCCACAATATTTTACTAAATTCATGAAACAAGTGAAGTAAGTTTAAATCAACACGTACAAATCATCATCATATAGGAAAAGAAATTGAGGAAATAGCCACATTATTTATATTGTAATCCGAAAGCATATGAGAGTCTCTCGCTTGAGTTTTAGGTTTTGTTGGTTCGTTTGCTTTCAACTTAAACCTGAGCAGAATCCGGATAGTCCACAGTTTAGCCTTTAGCCTTCACAGCCTTTACCTTTGGAGCCACGTGATGGGGTGGACCATAAGAACAGGAGGTACAAGCTAAGATTGTTGGGACAATCTGACCACTGCACTTGCAGGACTCACAGGGGCGTCACATGACCAAAGCAGCTTTGTGCAGTTTATACAATGCAAATCAGGTTCTTCTGGTACTGTAAAAGTTGTATAATTAAGTTGTGTTAATGCACATAATTTTCTCATCATGCAGAGACTGTTAATAATAATAGTATTGAAATAGATATAACAAAGTGCATTGTGAGATGCCTTATGTAGGGTTATGTACATACTTAAACAGAGCTGTGAGAGAAAGCATACAGGCTCCTGCTGCTAGCTCATTTTAATGCTAACTCACTGCACAATTGGGCCTGTATTTATCATGGCCATCAATTGAAATATTTTCTATACAGCCCACAATCACAACAGCAGTCAACTCTAAAGATTTTGCAAAATTGCTTCACCAATAGCAGTTTAGAACATCAAACTAGTTAATGATCAATTTTCAACGACCCTTCCCAGGTAATGACCGGCGACAATGTTTGGAACAGATGCTAAGCCAACTCCCCATGAGAAGCAGTATTGGTTCTGCCTTGAGCTCCTTCTGAATGATTGAGCTACTCTCCCAAAAATATCTCAAAATGAAACATTACAAAGATATATAAACCATATGAACACATGTAGATCAGTGGAAGATTATAGAAACATAATCTTCAGACAGGAGTGGGAGGAGATGCACGTCCGCTCACAGTAGGTACAAGACGTCACATTTGTTCATATATTTTTCAGAATATCGCAATATTAACATTAACATTAACATCTAAAATGACAAATAGATACAGCCTACATTTTCCTTTCCTTCCTTCCTTTTCCTTCTTCTTTTAACTTGGCGATCCATGAAACAATTCAAATCATAGAATTATTAACTGCAGTGGACCCCTGTGGGCACATGGACCATAAAACAAAGGACAGAGAACAAGCATGAAATTAATGTGAAAAGAGGGGAAAATATTCTTCAATATCACTGAAATTTTGACCCATTTTTATAATATAGTTCATCATATTCTTAATTAAATATAAAGTGGACTGGTTCACTTGTGCGCCTCATTGAGTGTGGTTAACCCTCTCCCTCTTGCAGCCTCATGCATGGCTGCTTCAGACAGGGGAGTGCTGGATGAGTTTTGGCTGTTTGTGCCGATGGGCACATATTGGCTGGAGTTCATTTTTGTCGCACAGAGGCACAGCTGGTGAGCAGTGGCTGCACATACACTGTCCAGTATACACATAACTCATGAATGCCAAAACCTTTCAGAACGGAAGAATGTAGGCCACAGCTGAAGTGACCACAACATGCCTCTTGTTGTTTTTGCTAACAAAGCCCAGAGTGCATCTGACAGTATTTTATTTCTAAATGTCTTTTTCTGATGGAATTATGCCCGTTTTGAATATACTGAATGGTTTTACAATGATGAAGCCGCTGTTTGTGACAAAAAATAAATACCTTTACTGGAAGAAATGCAATGTTCTAGAGCTGATGACAATGCAGTTCATCATAAAGCTTAGCAAACTTTATGACCTTGTTTTTGACACTTAAATGTTTCATTCAACAAAATCAAAGTATATTTTTTGAATTCACATTGTTAACATTTATTTCTCTAAACATTGGACGAGTTTTGTCCCAGATTGGTAGGTAACATCCCTCTGGTAATGCCATCATGTATAACCAGATGAAACAATGGAGATGACTCTGCACTGCTTGAGCTCCCAAGGAATTATTTTATATGTACCACAAGATGTGACATTTCAGGCATAATAAACCCCTCATCAGACATTACTGTGTGTGCATATACACCTGTATATGGACACACAGTGATTAGTTGTATAAAATGTAGAGATACAAGTCATGACCAACACGATGTAAAGGTGCAAGTACAGTTGTGGCCTGATTTCTTCATGTCTGATGAAGGGTACATTTTGCCCTAAAAGTCACATCTTCACACATTCCATAGGAGCTCAATCTGTGCAGCATCATCTCCATATTTTCATCTGAACACAGAACACATGGTCAAACTGGAACAACCATGTTAACTATGTTAAGTGAAAAGTAAAATACTTGAGTTAATGAGAGGTTATACTCACACTTTAAGTTTTCTATTTTTACCATCGATCACTGCCACATTTTTTTTGATGAGACTGCTTTCTCAATAATGTCCCACAAGCGGGAGTCCAACCAACAACCCTTGAATCGATAGAACACAAGTTTGAAGTGATTCTACATTATAATACAAAATCCTACAACACTATACTAACACAAACAAACTGAAGAGTAAATGAGGTGTAAATTGAAAAAGGTAACTTTATAGTGGCTTATTTGGATTCAGACACGGCACGGCTTGAGAATGAGAAGAGTCTTTATTCGGACAATGCAAAATAAAATAAAATATACAATGTATGTGCAATTTGTTCCCTCAAGGAATAAATAAAAATAAAAAAATGTCCGAAAGGGACAATACTTCTGTAAACCCGCCCCCCTTTTATACTTATCAATATGACAAAACAAAAAAACATTTTGACATCCCTTTAACTTAATCGATCAATATTATCCAACATTTGTGGGTTCGATCCTACCAAAACCCATGTCATCTGCTCCCAGCTGTTGTTGTGTCCCTGGGCAAGACACTTAACCCCACATTGCCTGCAGCCCCCCGCTGAAGGCCATGTCTTCAGTGAGAGAAGCCATCATTCTGTGGACCCATCACCTGCAGGAGGATCAGCGAGGGACTGGTGCAATGAGACTTGGGTGGCAGCTCTGATTGCCACCCCCCTGCCCAGGAAGAGACTAATAAAGGGGAAGAAAATCACATGTCATGACATGACATGACAGATTATCCAACAAGATAAACTAAAAACAACACAAGAGAAGCTTTATATAAATTTAACTTTTTTATCCCAATGTTTTTACTTCACGATTTGCAGATACAGGGGGCGACAGTGGCTCAGTTGGTAGAGCATTGGCCTTTGGGCCCGAAGGTTGTGGGTTCAAGCCCACAATTGATGTCAGCTGTTGTTGTGTTCTTGGGCAAGACACTTAACCCCACTTTGCCTGAAGCCTCCGCTGAAAGATCTCAGCTCCTGTGGACTCACCACCTGCAGGAGGATCAGTGAGGGGCTGGTGCTCTGTGTGCTGGGTGCAGCTCTGACTGACACTCCCCAACCCAGAAACGGATTAAGGGGAAGAAAATGGATGGATGGTTTTTCAGATACCTGAAATGAACCGATCCCTTCGAACCTCAGCCAACATATTCCAACATAGAAGTTTCTCTTAAGTCAAAATACAGTTTTATTAAAAGGAGAAAACTAGATTCTGTACAAATATCAGCAAGCAAACAGACTTAACACACCTAATATTTAGACTGAACTGATATCATCAAATCCATATCCAATCTAAAACAATTTCCAACATCAGCACAGATATCCAATGCCCGTATCGTATTGTGCATCCCTATTCCTGACAAAATACATTACATAATTGCACCAATACAAGTGTCTGTTGCTCCCTTCTCATTGTGAAACCACTGTTCCATAAAATCTTCGGGTCAAAGGACAATGACTCTTCCAATTGAGCTTCTGACATTCTTTTACATCATATTCTGCTTCATCAACACTTTATTTTCTCTCTATACGATTAAAAGTACAGTATAGTTACAGAGGAGGTTTAAATTGTGACTTATGGTGAGATCGGCCGTGACTTCTCTTCACGGCGGAACAAAGGACTGGGTAATGTGAGGATATGTGTGGAGAGTGACGGAGGCAGAGAAGTGAGAGAATATAAAGCCGAACCGATGGAGGGAAGTAGAATAGAGGGAGAAGTCATGGCAGCCGTTCAACATGGTAGAGTGGTATTTGGCTCTAAGCTGGAGATCTCGCCCCGCCGGGCCATGATATGATTTGACAAGCGCAGCGCTGTCATCTTGAGTCTGTCCAATTTGAAATTCTAATTAATGAACTCAACGCCACTTTGGGTTTTTGCCGCTTGTGTTGTTATTATTATCTTCATCGTTGTCTTAGGCCACTTTGTTTTCCATTTGTCTTCTCCTCTGTATATATTTTAGAGTTAAAACAGGAACCGTAAACTAGCTGTAATAGATATATTATTATTGACCAGGCCTTAGAATATTGTGTATGTGGCCATTCTTGTACATTTAGATTATTATGGTTTCAAATATAAATCTGTACATAATTCTTCATAGATTATCAATACTGAGATTTAGTACTCATAGGGATATAAACAACAAGGGTTTGACAACATGGGAGCAAATTGATTTATGTGCTTCCTGCTACTTTACTTCAGCTCTGCACAAAAATACTCCCCTTAGCCTTTTGCTTTGTTTTATTTCAATTGCATTGTTATAAGGTACTTACTGGACTATAAGCCGCTTCGTTTTACATTTTCTATGAATTTTGCGGTGTTTTGAAATGTTGTCAAATAGATTGGATTTAATAGAGTGCATGTTTTAACAGTGAGTTAAAACACCTCATCATTAAATCATAACTATTGTACATCTTCTAATTGTTTTACTCTTTATCCCTTTCATTGTTTTGAGATGCTTACCTAGTGAAGGCTTTAGAATGCTCATAAAGAAGAAGAAGAAGAAGAAGAAGCTCCTTTATTCGTCCCACAATGGTGAATTTTCAGTTTGATGCATACACATACACATACACACACACATCACTTCCGTGCTCCTTAAGGCAAAATTGCACTGTCATAAGTCAGGTTTGCATTGTTTTTCTTTTTCAACAATTTACAATGAAAACATATAATTCACACGTGGTTGGGATTTGCGTGTGGCCCTTGCCAAGGGTCAATGGAGCTTGGAAACTTCAGACTCAATGGAGAGTGACTTCTTCCTGTTGTTGGTCCAGCAGCGCTGGCTTAAAAAACAACATTAACAAATATCTATGATGGCTGTGGCCACACACACATATATTTTACTGTGTGACTTTGTTAGTTGGCATATATGATGCTTATTGTTTTAAATTATAGACTTGCTGTAGACATATTTTCTTACAACTGTGTCTGAAACTTTTGGTATACAACTCATCTCCTTATCCCAGAAATATTGAGTAACTAAATCACCGCTATATCAGAAAAAAATTCTGATATAGCGTTTCAATGTATTATTAACCAAACCTTGACATTTGTTATTCTATTTTGAAGCATGTCTTTAAATTTTTTCACAGATCAATATACAAAGAATCCATTCTATTCATAATTTTAGATGGTGAACTATGTGAAATAAGTGAAAAATTGACAGTTTTTGAAATAAATCCCTGAACTTCTGATCCAAGAACGTTCTTTGACCTGACAACAATTACGTCTACAAGATTTAGATAATTTAATAAGACTTTTCTTCATTATGTTGTTATATGCATGTTAAATCTATTGTATCTATGCTTTCAATGCTTTCAATATTCCCACAAACATTCTCCCTTGAGAGTTATTGAAAGGTTATCCCATCATATACAACCACTGCTGTAGCCATTTTTACCGAGTAAAAACATGATGCCATGAATTATTTCCGTTTGAATTTTCGTATTTATTGTTTTATTGAATAAAAGTTACCAATTAAAGTGTGAAACCCAAACATGACATATACTTATTACACTTCTGTGATAATGTTGGTGATGTATTACAGTATATTATGAAAATATTTTATTTTACTTCTATGTTTGAATTTGGGGATTTTATAAGCTGTTACTTCTGTATTTCTGTAATTCAGCTTACTATGTAGTTTCACCTTTTCACTCGCGATTGAACTCTTGTTGAGGATTGTGGTTCTAACCATTGTTCTACATGTTTGTCATATTCACTCTGCACAAATAACACTGTATCTCTCTGTTTGGAAGCTTTAGCCTGAGAGCTGATTGGCCGGTGGTCCTCTATTTATCACTATTCTGCTTGAAAAGGCAGATTTAAAGACATGAGTAAGTCAAAAAATACGTGCATGTGAAAATAGTGATAGAGCCAGGAACTAATACATGCCAAATGTTTTGTCCTTTCACAAAACTTTAGGCTTTAAGTTTCTGTAAGACTAGTCCTTTTGCCACCTCTTTTCGCTGAAGCATATTATCCAAAACGCTGATCCGTTTGTCCCAGCCTGTCGTTCATCTTTCCACCAGCAGGAGGCGCACACAGCTTACAAACCTGCTTCAGTGTGGTGCGCTCGGAGCCTGAGGAGGGACCGCAGGACAGCCGGGGAGAGAGTCCTGGAGCGCGGCCAATCAGCACCAACGAACCGCTGCTGAACTAATCTATTTCCACGGGACGTCCTATAATCCGGCCATCATTTAATCACAAAATCAACACTACATGCGCTACTGTTACTTCACTATTACCCCCTCTAAAGGCTTTAATAAAAATGTATTTGCGCACATTTATGAGCTCGTGATTAAAGGCAGATTAGTGCAATCGGACAGAAGAGATGATGGTTTTGTTACCAGTGTCCACATTTTCTCCCTCTTTTCTGGTTCATGCTGTTTTTATAGGACTTCTGCTGCAGCTTATGTCAAATGATGGATGGATGGACGCTTAAAGATCACATACTCTTGCATACACACAAGATAAGCGTCACTCAAAAAGGCTGTGAAATTCGGGTTAATTTCATGTTGTAATGAGAAAACCTTTTGGCTGTCACACTTGCTTCTCCCCCACCGTAAAATAAAAAAATGGCATATGACGCATGTTATATTGTTGATTATTTTATACATTATTAACACGAATTTAAATTGAGTGAAGTGTATTTAAATAGAGTAACGTTAACATAACATCAGTAAACAGTGCTGTTCAGAAGTTCAATCTATTCTAGTAAACAACGCTACACACATTGCAAAAATACCAGTGTGCACCAGGAGACAGAAAAAACAAAATAATTATTATATATGTACAAATATAATTGTCAGGGTTTTTATGTGCAATTTGTAAGTATAATTAAAATGTTTATTATGTATGTCAATTCAAGTAAATAATAATAGAAAACGTTGGATTTTTGTGTGGATGTTCAGACATGTTTGTGTCTAACGTAATGATAACATTATTGATATTTGGCAGCCATTGTTCCAATACAAATTATTTAAACTTTCCCAAAAAAACAACTTTTATCTAATAAGACATAGAACTTCATAATTCAAGCCTTCAGCAATTTCAAATCCTTTTTCGAAATCCTATTGTTTTGCTTGTTCAATACCTCAGTCGAACAGATTCCTATATTAGACGTATGACTCACAACATAAAATACATTACAGCCTGTGCCAATGAGCCTGCCAACACTCTGTTCCCGATCACTATAGACATCTCACCAATGTTACAATGCAAACTTAAGCCCTATATTTAAATTCCCATAAGCAGATTTGCAGTTGAGACTCTCTGCATTGCCAGACTGTGTGTTGTTCCCAGGTGGGCACATTTCATCTTGGATTGCAGGACACATCCTTATTATTATTCAGTGCTTCTTTGAATGTGTGCATGCTTCAAAAGGAGACATTGATGGTGACTAATGTTCTGCATAGGCCCGTGTTGTTGCCTGCAGGTGGGGCTGACTCACACATAGAGCCCACCTTGTGCCAACTGGCCAATGAACAACTGTCTGTCGCTGTGCGCTTGAGCAGAGCGCCACAAAGATCCTCACTCTTAACTGCTTTATAAAGAAGTAGTCATAGCAAAGGTTACATATGACTCTTGTTTAGAATGTACTATGTGCAAACACCAGGTCTGAATCGATGTGAAATGAGAAATTAGCCAGATTTTGTGTCTGATTGTAAAATACAGAGGATATATGTGGTTTTTATATAGTCTAGTAACAAGGGGTTTCCGCCACAAAATGTCACAATCATTTCTGTCTGCTCATCTTCTCTTCTCCATGTTCATTTGGTCTCATCACTCAGTGTTTGACATTTCCTGCCCCTGTCAGGTGTCAACTCATGTTACTGTTGGGAGGCACCTTTTACCCTACAAACAAAACTTCTATCTATCTATCTATCTATAGTGGGTAAGTAATCTTTATTTATATAGCGCCTTTCTCAGACCAGAGTCACAAAGCTCTTTACAATCATTATTTTTTGGCATTTGTCTCTCACTCCACACAGAAATGTGGGCGAGGTTGCCTGTACAGGGGGCACATGCCTGACCCATTGTACATGTTTTTAGTGGTAGGGGAAACTGGAGCACCCGGAGGAAATCTATCTATCTATCTATCTACCAGGGAGCTGCTTCAGTCCTACATCGGACCTGTTGTCCACGTTCTGCGGCCGCTGCGTGGCCCTGGTCCTCGCTCTGTAGATTAGGTCCTGGATCATTAACTCGTCTGTCCATGTGGAGCGGATCCCTCTCTCAATGTGGATCTCCCCGAGGTTTCTCACTTTTTCCCACTGTTTTTTTGTTTTGTTTTTCCTTGCCGATGCAGGAGGGTCTGTTGGACAGTTTGCATCTAATTAGGGCTGGGCAATAAATCAAATTTGTGAAAAATGTGAAAATCGTGAAATCCAATGAAGGATACTGTGAGAGTTCCAGCAGCACAAGAATTAAGAACTTGCAATATCAGCACAATTTGTATAGTATTTGTCTTTTATAATACGTATTGGGGGAAACCAATTAAAAATAGTTTTTAAACTGAATATTGAGCAGAAAGATCAAAAAATATATTTTTTAAGTCACCGTAGTCTGTTTTCGGTGACTTTAATGAAAAACAATAAAAAATCGAAATCGTCCAAAGCCGCAAGTAAAATTGAGATTTTACATTTTTGCCATATCGCCCAGTCCTATAGCCAACTAGAAGGATGTGGTGATGATCCATCCAGGACACCTTAACATTCTACATGTATGGACATTTATCAACTGTTGATTCTCTGATCTGTGTTGGTGATTTCAATGGTTTTGTTAAGTCCTCTGAGATGACTGCTGTTGTGATTTAGGGCTATACAAGAATAAATAGTATTGTATTATATTTTACTGAATCTATCTTTCTGTCTGTCATTCTGTCTGTCAAATCTTACTAAGGATTGTTCATTTATATAGTTTGTTTCAAAGACCAAGGTTGCACAAAGCGCTTTACAATATTGGTGTGATTTCCACTCACTCCACACACAGTGATGACAGGAGCGTGATGCCAAAACACCTGGTGCATCGAAGGCTCCAATCATCACATTCAGATCTATTGACCCGTCTTGCTCCACCCAGCGGCTACTCCACCTCTGCTGCTGTGACCTAAAGTGCTGTTGCATGTTATCATTACTATCGTTAGCATGATAGAATGATCCATTTATTGGTTTTGTTTGTGTGGATGGATGTGTTTTTGCTGCTAATGGACACCTGAATTTCTCATACAGGGATCTATCAATATACTGTATCTATCATATTTTTACTGGTAAGGAAAACAGGAGAACCCAGAGGAAGCCTATGCAGACACAAGGAGAACATGCAAACTCCACACAGAAAGGCTTCTAGCAGCTTCTTTATGATTCTGATTCTTCATGTTGTATCAATATTCCCCCTGGAAGTTTGAAGCACTGATGCACACGCATAGTCCGAAATCTTTACACGTTGCAAAAAAATAGCGCTAAACAGATGCCACTTTATATTCATTAATCTTCAATAAATGGTAGATTAATGTTTTATTTTGTCATAATGTGGTTGAGCATGAGGTTCGAGGCCTGGAGTAGTTGGATTGAATAAAAAAGACATCTGGTAGAGCTGTTAATATTTAGTCGATTGTTCCTTAAAACGTTGTGTTAGTTGACTCATTATCTTATTTAAATTACAACAGCTTCTATGTGAAATTGCAAAAAATAAGAAGAAGAATAAGAAGCAAGATAGGTAGCAAGATGAATGAAAAAATTGATAGCCAGAACCACCTCTTCTCGTATCGTTTGCCAAATATATGTGTGATTTTAAGCCTAAATAACTGTTTTTCAAGTTTTGTGAGTACAGTTTAGGTAAGTAGGTAACTGTTGTGTTATCGTATTGTGGCCCATGGATACTTCAATTAAAGTATCAATGTCAAAAGGCATTAATAAACCATGCTCTTTCTGAATACTTCTTTAACTGATAACAGTAGTTCAACCGAGATATTAGAATTTCAAAATTAGTTTTACAGCCCCTAAATCTTGTTACCGTTTATATTTCGATGTCCTGCCCTCCGGGTTGCCAGAGCTCACAGCATCGAGCTAATCTCACTGGTAAAGTAACATGTGGCCGCAGTACTGAAAAGGTCTTGGTCTGATTCTCAAATCATTCATGAGAAAACAAGGAATAAAAAGAGGATTTCTATCGGGGCCTTTGTGAAAAAGGTGTTGGTTATAGATTTATTGTTGACAAAACTCTTTCCTTTTCAGTTAATATGTCCCCAGCTGGATTTGTCTGCGTATCTGGCAACCTGAGTCAGGGAGAGTGGGCGAGTGTTGCAGTACCACTTTTGGCCAGATTTTTTACATACTGCTCCTTTAACTCTATTTCACTCCAATTCAATTCATTACAGTTTTTTCAGTCGCTTTGATGCATTTCTTGTAAGCATTTCTGATTTGCACAACAGATAGTGCATTTCTCAGAACAATTAGTAAAAACTGCAAAACCTAGTGGTTAACCTGCAAAAGAACCTCCGTACCACAGGATAGCAGGATGACCGGCGATCATAAATATCCTCTAAAAGATACGAGCCCTGCTGAACACGTCCAAGCTTAAACGTTCGAATATCATTGTCCTCCTCACCATGAATGGTAGTGACTGTTGTCTGTTTCCTTTAATCAGCCGGCATCATGCGTGTGAGACCATCAGGTTTGAGGACTGGAGGATGTGACAGGCGTAGGTGGTCTGTGTGTTGTAATCATGTGGGGTGGTATCAAAGATGTATGGGTCCTTCGAGCATGCATAAAACACTTTAAACACTGTAATTGCCGTTTACTCTCAGCTGCGCTCTTGCTCCCTCGGGGCGCCCAGGCTGGATGGGAACCAAGCGTTACTTTACATTGGCAGAACAATATGGAGTCATTTGTGATTTTGAAATATGTCTGTGTTGATTTTTCTTCTATTGTTGTTCAATTGACGTGCAGCAACTCATCATAAGACACATTTGGTTTCATTTGAAAAACATAACGTAAAATGTCACGTGCAGCAAAAGATAAATCAAGTAAACAGCTGTACATATAAGATAGTTGTCTTTATGTTTCAAAAATCATAGCTAAAGTATAAAACTATGAAAATGACAGAAAATATTTCTGGTTTCCACTACAGTATATCAATGGTGGACATGTATTTTCTGCA